GTTTTTTTTGAGTTTTTATATATTTTAGATGTTAATCATTTGTCACATTAACAGATGGCAAATATTTTATTCCAACCTTTATGCTGTCTCTTTTTTAATTATTTACTTTGTTTCTAAGATCATTTTAGTTTGATGTAATACATTTGAGCTTTTTTTGATTTTGTTTACTGTGCTTTGGGATCATATGCAAAAAAACAAAACAAAACAAAATCATTGCCTCTACCAATTTCATTCAAAACTTCCCCTGACATTTCTTCCAGAAGTTTTAGGGCTTTATGTTTTACCTTTATCCCTTTGACACCACACATTTTGAGTTGATTTTTTGCATATGAGAGATAGTTAACTTTTGATACTTTGCATGGGGATTTATAATTCTCACAGCTCTACTCAAATAGGTGACTTTCTCTAAAGCATCCTTTTGGCTCCTTTTTTTCAGAACCATTTTCCACAGATGCATGAGTCCACTTCTGGGACCTTTATTTTTTCCTTTGGTCAATGAGTCTGTTTTTATGGCAGCACCATGCTAGTGTGCTCACTCTGCCTCAGTCATGTGTCTGGAAATTAGGAATCAGGATGCCTTCAGTTTTGTTCTTTTGTTCAAGATGACATTGACTATTTGGGTTTTTCATACTTCCACATAAATTTTAGAACTATTTTTTCTAATAATATGAATAATTTTGTTGTTTTTTTTTCCCATGGGGATTGTATTTAATCTGTGAATTTCTTTACATTTTTAACCCTTTAACAGAGGTCTTTACATTTTCTCCCTGTCACACTCTTTGTGTGTGTGAGTGTGTGTGTTTTCTTTAATTTCTTACATCAATGCTTTGTAATGATGAGGAGTACTTTCACTTCCATGGTTAAATTCTTTCCTAGATGTTGTAAGGGACCCACGAAGCATCGGAGGAAGAGACCACAAGAGACCAGCTTCATGCAACATGCATAAGGGGATTTTTATTGAAGAGGATCCTAATTCAGCGTGCTGAGGCTCAAGGCTCACTCAGGAAGGGAGAGTGGCCCAGAGCCTAGAGCAGAGGTCAAGCAGAGCTTACGTACACTTTTTGGGGAGGGCGGGGGCTTTGCATACATCAGAACAAATCATCATGAAGCACGGGGAAATTGTGTTCAACAATAACTCTGAGACATGATTAGTACATTCATTGGTGGGAACAGGCTGGGCAGGGGTGATTGGTCACTTCTAAGTGGGGTACATATTAAAACTGATTGGTTTTAGGGCCTAAAGGACTACATGACAAACTACACAGAGTCCCAGGTTATTAGACAACCAGGGAGTCAGTGGGAATATTTACTGGGCAGTTCGGGTATAGTTGTAACAGCTACAGGAATTACAGGTTTTGGGGGTAGCAGAGGAATTTTATCAGTACCTGGTCTTTTACTTTTTAACTCAGGCCCTGCAGCTTGGAAACTTTACAATGCCCAGTCTTTTACACTTTAACTCAGGCTTTGCAGCTTAGAATCAGCTTAGAAATTTTACCCTTACAATGTTTATTTTTTTTTGTTGTAGATATTATTAATGAGATTCCTTTTTATGTTTTCTTTCTCAGAAATCTTATTATTAGTATATAAAAATTCAACTGATTTTAATATTGATATTTTGTCGTGCAAATTTCTTGATCAATTCTAGTAGTCTTTTATCTGTAAACAAGAAAAACTTGACATCTTTCTTTTTTAAAACATTTATTTTGTTTAGTTTTCGGTGGACACAACTTCTTTTTTTTTTTTTATTTTTATG